AGATCCTCACCTACTACGGGGCACAGAAGGAGCGGCGCCTCAAGCGCCAGGTGAACCCCCCCCCAACTCCCTAATTTTTTGGGGGTGGGGTCATGTGACCTGACCCCCACCCTGACCCCCACCCATCCCCACCCAGGGTTGGACCAAACCCAACGCGTTCCACGTCTGCATCACCTCCTACAAGCTGGTGCTGCAGGACCACCAGGCTTTCCGCCGCAAGAACTGGAAATATCTCATCCTGGACGAGGCGCAGAACATCAAAAATTTCAAATCCCAACGCTGGCAGTCGCTCCTCAACTTCAACAGGTGGGTGCTGGGGCACCCATGGGTGCTGCGGGGGCTGAGGAGCAGCTTAAAGGGCTCGGAGGACATCTCAAGGGGTTTGAAGGACATCTCAAAGGGGTTGGAGAACATCTCAAGGGATTTGAAGGACATCTCAAAGGGGTTGGAGGACATCTCAAGGGGGTTCGGGAAGGTCGGTCTGGTGGGAAACATTCTTGGGGTTGGGGATGGTGGGGGACTGATGGGTGCTGGGGGCACCCATGGGTGCTGCGGGGGCTGAGGAGCAGCTTAAAGGGGTTGGAGGACATCTCAAAGGGGTTGGAGGACATTTCAAGGGGTTTGAAGGACATCTCGAAGGGGTTGGATCACATCTCAAGGGGGTTCAGGAAGGTCGGTCTGGTGGGAGATGATCTGCAGGTTGGGGGTGTTGGAGCACCCATGGGTGCTGGCAGTTCCTGGGGGGCACTCATGGGTGCTGAGGAGCATTTTAAGAGGGTTGGAGGACATCTCAAGGGGTTTGGAGGACATCTCAAGGGGGTTTGGTAAGGTGGGTCTAGTAGGAAAGGGTCTTGGGTTGGGGAAGGTGGGGGACTGATGGGTGCTGGGGGCACCCATGGGTGCTGAGGAGCATCTCAAAGGGGTTGGAGAACATCTCAAGGGGGTTGGAGGACGTTTCAAGGGGTTGGAGAACATCTCCAGGGGGTTCGGGAAGATCGGTCTGGTGGGAAAGGGTCTTGGGGTTGGGGATGTTGGGCACCCATGGGTGCTGGGTGTCCCTGGGGGGCACCCATGGGTGCTCTAGACGTCATTTGAGATGGTCTGTAGGACGTTGAGGTTGGTCTGTAGCTCCTTAGATGATCCCATGGGTGCTCCACCACCATGGGACCACCCGTGGGTGCCATGTCCCACCCCGAGGAGCACCCATGGGTCCTCTGTACCCATCTGAGGTCACCCATCATTGCATGGGGGCACCCATGGGTGCTGTAGAGCTTGTTCAAGTTCTGTAAGAACCTGAAGTTGGTCTTGAGCTCCTTAGATTAATCCATGGGTGCTCCACCACCATGGGGCCACCTGTGGGTGTCGTATCCCACCCCGAGGAGCACCCATGGGTGCTGCTGACCTGATGGGTGCTCTCCCCACCCACAGCCAGCGGCGGTTGCTGCTGACGGGGACGCCGCTGCAGAACAGCCTGATGGAGCTCTGGTCACTCATGCACTTCCTCATGCCCCGCGTCTTCCAGTCCCACCGCGAGTTCAAGGAGTGGTTCTCCAACCCCCTCACCGGCATGATCGAGGGCAGCCAGGAGTACAACGAGAGCCTGGTCAAGAGGCTCCACAAGGTGGGGGGCACCCGAAAAATTTTGGGGGGGTCAACCCTAGGACGTGGGATGGAACCTCTAAACATCCCGCCACCTGACTGGCTCCTTTCCCAGGTGCTCCGCCCCTTCCTGCTCCACTTTCTGAAGGTGGACATGGAGAACCCAATGCCCACCTCATGGTTCCTCCTTCCCTCCCATCTCCCCAATGGGGTGGGGCTCAACCCCATGACGTGGGATGGAACCCCCCACCATCCCGCCACCTGAGTGGCTCCTTTCCCAGTTGCTCCGCCCCTTCCTTCTCCACCACCTGAAGGTGGACATGGAGAACCCAATGCCCACCCCACGGTTCCTCCCCCTGTCCTGCCTTGGTTTTGGGTTGGGGCTCAACACTATGACGTGGGATGGAACCCCCGAACATCCCACCACCTGATTGGCTCCTTCCCCAGGTGCTCCGCCCCTTCCTTCTCCGCCGCCTGAAGGTGGACGTGGAGAAGCAGATGCCCAAGAAATACGAGCACGTCCTCAAATGCCGCCTCTCCAAGCGCCAACGTTACCTCTACGAC